GGCTTTCCTGGAGATGGCTGAACACCTGCCTGCCAATGGGAAATGGTGAATTAATTCCTTGTTTTGCTTTGCTTGCACGTGCAGCTTTAGCTTTACCTATTAAACTGTCTTTATCTCAACCCATGAGTTTTCTCACTTTTACCCTTCTAATTCTCTCCTCATCCGACTGCGGGGGGAGTGAGCAAGTAGGTTTGTGGTGCTTAGTTACCCACTGGGCTTAAACCATGACACAGAAGCAAATGGCTATGTGGTAGCATAAAATACCATGTAAAAACTCATGGGAGAGGAGGCCTCTAAACTGGAGATTACAGCCTCATACAATCATGAGGTTTAAAAAAATTATCATCATAATAATTATTTTGGTTTGATATCATTTACTTTCAAATAAAGATATTACATGTGTTCAGAACACCAGAAAAACATATTTTTACAAGCTGAATTGAATACCTACAAGCTCCTTTCCTATTCTTGATTGTGCAAGTATCCAGCAAGGCACAAGCAAATAAATATAGGAATACAGACGCAGCAGACACAGACACAATGCAGTGATGAAGAGATCACATCCTTCCTCCCTCATTTGCTTTCTGTGGTTTGGGTTTATATTTCTTAATTTCTTAAGCACTTCTAACTTTGGATCAGCTTGCTTTATTCAAGAAAAGTAGCATGTAGAATCTACTCTCTTCTGCTCCTTCAGGCAGCAGATCTCTGGTCCAGTGACAGCTTCAAAGAAGCCAGCATCTCTTTGCCATTTTCCTGCCAACTGCAATCTCCCAGATGGCCGACTCCAACCCATGAAGAGCTGTTGCTGTGACCCCACCAGCTATTAGAGGAATCACATTCCCAAGGAAGAACACCAGTCTCTCGTAGTCAGGCTGTGAGGGTTTTTATTAATTAAATATTCCACATACAAAGTACTAAATAAATATATAGTTGTGTCAGACACCAGTGTACCATACAAACCCGCCTGGAGAGCTCTATGTATTTATAAATGAAATATCATGGAAAGCTATTTACCAAATGCAAAGCAGGCTGCAGAATGATTAAACTCTGCAGATTCATTGCTCATTGGCAAGGTGCAGTCACACACACACACACACACGCGTGCATACACGCACATGCTCACACTCACTCACTCCTGGGAAGAAGGGTGTCCACCTTCTGCTGCTTGGAAAATGTTTGTGTTAATGCCACAGACACACTCAGGAGGAGGCAAAGCTCCAAGGTGCATGGGATTAGATCCCACCAGGGTATTGCAAGCCACTTCATGGAAGAGGTTTTGTCTGCACGGATCCACAGCCTGGGGTGGCAGGGGTGGGGAGGAAGAGTTTGCTGGGCAGGCACCCTGGGGAGCTCAGCTGGGGCTCATGGTCAGGAGTCAGAGCTAAGAGGAGGCTGATGCTAGAGTGCAAATCAGAAAATGTGTCAGGGTAAATAGGTATAGATGCTTTTATGTCTTTAAGTTTTCTTCCCCCTCTCCACCGTGGTCTCTAGATGATGAGGAAGGGATTGGAAGTGAACATGAAAAAAAAAAGAGGAATACTCTCTCTCTCTCTCTGTTTCTTCTCTACTGATCTCGGGAGGAGAGCCAGACAGGGCTGGGAATGGGCACAAAAGTAATGGTAGATAGATAAAGGCATCCTTGGTAGTACCTGAGATGTGTTCACAGGTGGGCAGGAGTGGGGATCTGTAGGGCTGATGCTCCTGCTCCTGCCTCTTCTCTGGTCAGACAAGGGGCCCAGGCTGATCAAAGCAAGTCCTGGCTGGGGCAGAGCCAGTCATAGACCCAGCTGATGATCTTCCTGCTACTCTAGCTCTACAGCATTCCTGATGAAAATAGGCCAGAGCATGCTCTTCCCAGCATGTTCCTCTGCCAGAAGAGGTGACCTTCATCCCATGGAGAAATGGGGTGAGCAGGGACAGGATGGCCAGAGTGGTGTCTGAAAGCTGTGTTTGAGGAATGAGAGGGGGCTACAAGGGTGCCTGTGTGGGGAAAACAGGACCACTCTCCTCTTTTGCCAGTGTGAGTTCACTCTGTCTTTTCTTCGGGATCAACTCACTTGTCACCACGTGGCCCATTCCCCACATCTCTGCTGATGGCCACTTAGTCTCTTTGCTTGCTGTGGAGCTGCTACACAGGGCCTTTCCCACCAGTGTAGTCATGGTATGGGCTTGTCCGGGCCTTGGGCCGAGGGATGGAGAAATCACTTTGGGGTTCAAGGGTCTGAAAAGGAAGCAATAAAATCTTTACCTTTCAAAACTGGAGAGAAGTAATAGAATAGGGCTTTAAAAAAACAAAACAGGAGAGGGAGAAACAGAGCACAAAGTTTCCTGAGAGTATGATCAGTGGGGCTGTGGAAGAAGATCCTGGTAGAGCAAACCAGTAACGGAGACATATCACCAGAGGACGTGTGGGGACATGATGTAAGCTCCTAGACCTGGATAGGCTGTGGTCTGAAGGAGGACTGGTGAATGGACATGGGGACATGCAGACTGCCCACTCTGGATCTGCACTGCAACATCCAGTGACTGCTGGTGGAAATACATTCAGGGCACAGGCTGGGGAAAGGAGCATGATCTTCAGAGGAAAGGGAACTCTTCATCTTATGTGATGTCAAATCCAGGAAGTATTGAAAAATACAACCTCAGACTTTGTTTTAGACCCCTCTTGCCTCCCCATGTCCCTGAGCATGTCACCGCTCCCTCCCCTCAGCCACAGGCACCTCCTTGAACATGTGCCATGGTACCACCTGGCTCCATACAAAGAACCTGCCTGCCTCCACAGAGCCTGCTCTAGGTCCATCTGTCTTTGCCCCTTCTCCTTCCCTTCCCTTCAGCACCTGAAGAATAGCCTAAATGTGGTGAAATGGGCAAAGGGTGGGTGAACTTACCTTCATCTGAAAGTGAGAAGAGTACGGGGAGTAGGTGAGGTCTCCTGTGTCTCCTGAGTCACAAGACAAGAAGGGGGGGGAAGTTAGTGAGTTGGCATTATATGGTAGCTTGGAATTACTTCATCAAGGGAGACTCAAAGGGCCTGTGGCTATGGTAGCAGCTGCTTTTAGACTGCAAACTATGCAATATGCAGGCAGGAATGGGTTAAAATCCAGAGGTGGGTGACTTATTAAATATTTTCTTATGAAAGCAGAAATGAATGGTATTGTAAATAACAGGACATAGGTGGCCTTGGAGTTTAGACACCTCCTGTTGCCTCACAATTACTGTTATCATCACTGGCCAAATCCCTCCCACTTGCATGCACAAGACCCCCTCTGTGGTATTCCCTGGGAAAGCACAGCCTTTCTCGGCTATTCTTTTACAAACCTGGAGGTCTGACTCCAGGGGACAAATGTGATCTCAGTGGCAGATCCACGGGGAGTGCAGTTACATCTCCTACCCATAGATTTGGAAAGCCTCAATTGAGAAAACATTTTGTTTTGTCCAAGTAGGCATGAGAATCATACAGAGAAGTAAGACCTCCTTGCCTCCTTTATACATGACGGGTTTATTTTTAAATAGATAATGGGAACCACATCAGAAATGGAATAAATAATCTCCAAAGTGCAACCTGGAGAGGTCTGAAGAGCTGGAGCATTGTTAAGAGACAAACAAAAAACTTCTGAATTTTTACACAGACATAACAGACATAACAGAATCATAAGGATTTATGTCTCAGCCCTGACACCCAGTAAGTCACCTGCTCAGCCACTCCTCCTACACATCTTTGGCTTTTGCATTGGGCCTTACTCTTTTCCCTCTTATCTGGAGATTCATTTTCACTTGCATTTCTGAAGTTTCATCAGTCTGAAACTTTTTCCTACCTCTAAATTATCCATTGTCCTCAAATCTTTTCTTGTAGCCCTCCTACCCCTTTTAGCTCATGAGAGGTATGTGTGTGCTTAGGGCTGGGGGACAGTGGAGTTTTTCACTTCATCATACCTTGCACAATTTCATCTTGGGTGTAGGCACGGTTGTCCACTCCAGTTGTCTGCTTTATGAACTTGGGTTGGCAGAAGTCATTTTCTGGAGGGTAGTCTCCCAGCTTCGGAGGGGCAGTAAGGAAACAAATTTCAGGGACGATATACATTATCAGGAAGATCCATCCATTGGACACCAGAGCAATGGCCATGACAGGATCATCCCAGCTATCTTCATTTAAAACCCTGTTGCCTTTTGTGAGCATAGTGATCCACACAACCCAAATGGCAATGGAGAACAGGACAGTGACAAAGATGTGTGCCCCGTGCCTCTTCCAGCTTTTATATGACCCACAGAATGTGAACATGGAAACCAAGAAGGTCAGAGCCATCAAGAAGAGCACATAGATCAAAAGCATGACAAAGTCCTTGTTGGTGTCCTCTGGACTCATATTCAGAAATGTGTCTCTCTGGTTTACTAGCATGGTGACTAAGTACTCAATGCTGATCACAACTTGCACCAGGGCAAAGGAAACAATGAGGAGCAACAACACCAGCCAGGAGAAGGGCTTTCTTCCTCTCACTAGTTTGTTGAGGTTGCAGGCATGGGCAAGGAGGCATGAGAAACAGAGAGCAAAGATGACTCCAAATAGGAAGAAGCGAGTGGGGCGAGTCTTGTCATTGAGCCTAATGATGAAGGCAAAAGTAAGACCAAAAATGCCGAGTGTTCCTAAGAGAAAGAAGAAATAGATGGAGATCATGTGCCGCTTGCTGTTGTCTTGGACTTTACAGATGAGAAAGAAGAGTGAGCAGATGAGGAAAATGGTGACAAGGACACCAGCTGCAGCCAGTGACTCCAGGACAATCCCCCAGGCCTTCTCCATGTCACAGAGCAGGTAATAGTCAGCATTAATGCTGCCGCAGCCTTGGGGAGGCAACGTTGTCATCCTCTTGCCTTCTTGAAAACCTCCCTGTGAAATGTTTCCTCAAAGCTGTAGAAGAGAAAAAGACACAGGCTGTCATATAAACCATCTGTCTGCTGCCAGCAGAGGGGAAAGAGAGGCAGGACAGATGTCCATCCCCACCTCACTGGGCAAGGATACCGCAGTGCTAAGGACACAGGGCTGTGGGAGCAGAGCCATCCCCTTATGTGGCATTGGCTTTCTGTCAAGAGCAAGCCAAACCCCTTATCAAGAGGCCATTCACCTTGCATGTCCTCTGTACTGCACCTGGGGTTGTGCAATGTCGTAGGAGCGTGGGGAGCAGGGAGGTGAGGCGCCTTCACAGGCATTAGCTTGGTGCCCTGCAGCCCAGAGACTGAGCTGCCTCGTCACTTTTGTGATACCAGAACAGCTGTCAGTGATAAAACAGTTTACAGTCTTTTGACAAGTTCAGACAACATCAATACCTTGTACTAGTGAGGTTCAGAGATGAGCAATGCAGAACAGGAAACTCATTACTCTGTTTCTTTTCGCTCTTTTACTTTCTCTGAAACACTCTTGGCTTTAGTTTACAGGTATGAGTGAAGGGGAACTTTAACTGCCTTTTACCTTGTAGGTAACTAAATTGGATGCCTCCAGCATAGCTCTTCTCACTCCAAATTAAATAGCATATATAGGCTACAAATCATGATCCCTGAACTCATATTCCTCCTTCTTCATGGCAGTGCAGCAATAAGAACTGTCTCAAAGGCTGCAGTCCCCTCCCAGAGGGGAGTAAGTGCTGTTCATTGCACGAGAAGTAACCACCAAGTTACTGCTTGAGGAGTCCACGAGTCAAGGATGCACAAGGTCTAACACACCCAGCAC